ATTTGAAAATTTACATTTAAGAGTTCTTGAATTTTCGAATACAAATTTCTCGAATATAAATTTAAAAATTTTCACATCTAAATTTAAATATCATTGAATTCTCAAATTCAAAGTTAGAAAATTCTGAACTTCCAAATTGAAAATTTTCAAATTCCCAAATTCCCAAATTCATAAATCTAAATATCTAAATTTCTATATTCTCAAATTTTTATTTTTTAGTTTCTATATTCTCAGATCTAAATTTCTAAATTCCCAAGTTCTAAAATATAAATTGAAAATTCCCCAAATTTTCAAATCTAAATTTTAAAGTTCCTAAATTTCTAAATTTTCAAATTTGAGTTTTAAAACCTTGTAACTTATTACCAATTTTAATATTAAGTTTAACATTAATCAATCTTAAAAATTTGTTCTATCACGAATCATCTATGTTTTTATCAGACCATCATCCCAGTTTTACAAAAACACATATTATTAATACTTAAATTCCATTGTTTCAACTTGTAATTATAGTTTTGCATGTAATAAATGCCTGACTGGCAGAAATACCAGTCGTGTCATGAAATAACGTCACGATCCACAGATTTGCTCGTCGATAATAACTATACATTATAAATACATGGTGCAACTGGATGTTATAAATTATCTATCATATCTTTACTTAGGTAAATATGGTAGTATAGTTCTTATCTTCGATCTTGTTGCATTAGAACGCTTTTTATCATCATATATGCTATATAATTACAAATTTTATTTCTTCTTTAATGACCGATAATCTGACTTAAGCTAAATGAACCACAATAATAACAGTGTAACCTACATACATGGTATCCCAGTTTTTTACCGTCAAGGTTCACCAAAATATTGCATACGCAAAACTAAGAAAAAGATGTTACATTAATATAGAAGTTCAAACACTTTATTAAAAAGTTACAAAAGTACATAATGACTTCGAATTGCTTTTTCGAAGCCACGTACAGGCTTCCACGGATACCATCTCCCTGTATGACGGTCCACTATAGTTTCGCGAATATCATCGTAGATAAAGTGGTGCCACTATAGTGGCTTACTCTACTGGCTCACTCGTTCACCGTTTGAATTAAACGATCCTTTTCATATGTTTTGATTCGCACTTTTTGCCTTCAACACGTTTTATAAGAGTATTAAAAAATTCCAGAAAAGTATATTACATGTGAATAAAAGGCAACGCTAAGTTTAAGCACCACGGAAGCACCTCGTTGCACTAATAGACGCATATTGGAAACATTTGAAAATTACATATTTTGTAAATTTTCTCTGACTACCTCATCTAAAATCTATGGTTCTAACAGATAATTTGTTTTGTAGTTGTATAAGCACATGAAAATTAATAAATTGGAAAATTGATAAATTTTAAAATTATAAAATTGGGAAATTGGCAAATTGGCAAATTAAAATATTTCAGTGTGAAATTTCAAATTCGTTGTCTGCCTTCCTCTGTCGTCATTTTTTATCTTAATATTTTCACAATAATTATATCCCTCTGTTAACTCACTTGTCAAGGAAATCATAGGTTAAGGGATTATGCAATAATATCGTAGTTTTGATTAAAAATCGTATATTTTCAGTTCGTTTAACAAAAGACAAAAAAGCTGCATATCGATTGTTAGAGTAAAAAATGTCCGTTTTTAATTAATCAGGTCGAAACGAAGCACGATGTTTTATCGTGAAAATATAATGAATGTGTTTTCGTTCATAAAAAAAATAATCTCTGTAAAATGTATACATGTAATTAACAGTTTCATTTCATATGTGCTCTGTTGAAAGAAGAAACGTCTTTAAATATTCAATCTCTGAAATGAGCGAATTGCAGCGAAAAATTATATTCATATTCATTTTCCTGAAACTGATGTTTCAGATGTACGATAATATTTTTTAAATATTTTAATGCATTTTCTAAGAATTATAACACTTTTATGGAGAATACGTTGAGATTAATTTTGCATGACAGGAATTTATAATATAATATAATTAAAAATTTTTAATATCATTATGGCAGGAATTTATAATACAATTATATAGCAGGAATTACAAGTATTTTATAATTTAGTTAATTATTAATACTAAGTTCAATAAACTAAAATTTTCTAGTAATTGCATTTATAAAATCAGTTATCGCAACTTTTCATTTATTATTTGGATTTTTCACCAAACCAAATTTTAATAAACCCAGAAACGTTTATTATGTTCATTTACATTACAGAAACAGTGTAATTAATTTCTTTAATTAATTTCATTTCACTTTGAAGTCTCTGTTGATTTTTTAATTACAGTTAAATTTTCTAGTTTTACTGAGTACGTTTATGTTGACACATAAATATTTTACTATTAATCGTACGCTTCACAAAATTTATTTTTGTAACATCAGTCTACCAGTAAGAGCAGTATAAATGATAAATAAATATTATAACAGAAGTATGAATAAATAAATATATATTTATCAATAACAGTGCAGTATTATTTAATGTTGAAGTAATTTAACAAAATATTAACTGTTTAAGTGTTGATATTTTTTGCAATGTTAAACGCTATTTTATTCATCATTCATTGTTTAATTTAATTAGAAAATGATTGATTACAAAAAGTTCTTAAACTAAGTGGCTTATTAAAACACAAGATCAGTAATCAATTATTACACATAATATAAAGTCTTTCAATAAATTTATACTTCAACATTACATAAATGAATAAATGAAACATAGATTGAGGTTATGTATCTTCGGATTATACTTCAGTAAAATTAAATTTATAATGAATATTTGAATAATTCATTCGACCTATGACATAGGTAGTTTTAACACGTCTATGAATAATTAACCTGAGTAATATTAAATTTATAACGAATGTTTCAGTAATTCATTACGTCTACGATATCACTATCTCAATTTCTGTGAATAATTAAGTAACGTTAAATTTATACGTCTACTTTATCGAAGTTATAATATTTCTACGACTAGTTAATAATCAAGTTCGAAAATCAAGAGATACATAATCATCGTATTTTAAATCAGTGTCCGATTCTCGCAGGTTCTCGATCTCCCGGCGCTAATCTGCTAAATGAACTCTTCGTTAATTACAGACTCTGACGTGGCTCGAATTATGACTTATGATTCCATGTCTAAACTGCAAGTATCTTGGCCTTCGGAACGACCCGTTAATTATGTGATCCGCCTTAAAGTTTGCTCAGCTTGCCTCTCAATTACGTAAAGAGCCCGGCTAAATATATGGCAAGCATCGTGACACGTGATCATTAGGGCACTCTATCGAACTTAGAAAATACTATCCTCTAACCAATACCGTTTCTCATGTATCTAGCCTGAAATATACCTCTATCATCTTACAATTAGTAAAACAACAATGATAATAATTTTCAGTTCGTATATCACACAGACATTGATTAATTTCTTGTCCCGATTAAATCCTGAGGTTATTTATGATGGTACCTACTTTGACTGAACTAACAGGACGCGTACATTATTGGCTAAAAGTTTATGTACACGTGTCAGGTTAACGCATGTGTGAAATTTTGGACAAATGTAGATTTATCGATTTGTAGATTTATAGATTTATAGATTTGTGGAGTGGTGGATTGGTGGAATGATGGATTGGCGTATTGGTGGATTGGTGGAATGGTGGATTGGTGGATTGGTGAATTGGCGGATTGGAGGATTGGTGGATTGTTGGACTGGTGGATTGGTGGATTGATGGATTGGTGGATTGGTGGATTGGTGGATTGGTGGATTGGTGGATTGGTGGATTGGTGGATTGGTGGATTGGTGGATTGGTGGATTGGTGGATTGGTGGATTGGTGGATTGGTGGATTGGTGGATTGGTGGATTGGTGGATTGGTGGATTGGTGGATTGGTGGATTGGTGGATTGGTGGATTGGTGGATTGGTTGATTGGGGATTGGTGGATTGGTGGATTGGTGGATTGGTGGATTGGTGGATTGGTGGATTGGTGGATTGGTGGATTGGTGGATTGGTGGATTGGTGGATTGGTGGATTGGTGGATTGGTGGATTGGTGGATTGGTGGATTGGTGGATTGGTGGATTGGTGGATTGGTGGATTGGTGGATTGGTGGATTGGTGGATTTGCGGATTTGTAAAGTTGTGAATTTGTGAATTTGTAGAATTGTGGATTTGTGGATTTGGGGATTTGCGGATTTGTGGATTTGTGGATTTGTGGATTTGTGGATTTGTGGATTTGTGGATTTGTGGATTTGTGGACTTGTGTATTTGTGGATCTGTGTATCTGTGGATTTATGGATCTGTGGATTTATGGACTTATAGATTTGTGGATTTGTGAATATGTTTTTCACATTTCTCCATTCTTAAATCGTCAAATTCCAAAAGCGTTATAATTCCCATCCCAATTTCCAAAAGTCCCAATCCTTTGATTACAAGGCAAAAATGTATCATAAGATTAGATAAAAAAAAAATACCTAACTCCAACTGCTTCAATGTGGCAGTCGCATTAGACATAACATAAATTTAACCTCACATTTCAAAACATAAAAAGTAAAAAATAACTGTGTTCGAATAAAGTTTTAGTTGTGCAGTGCATTAGCAACAGGCTAATAATCCGTGAACAGAGGAAATCTTTCGACAACGACTTTCTTTAACTCACGTTGTCATCTTTATTTCTTTCGCACCCTCGAGGCTGCTTCCCCTTGGCTTTCACGGCTCGCGAATTTTCCTAGTTTATCCGATAATTTTCTCGCCTTTGCACGGCACGGGGGAGAGAAAAAGCGAATGGAAGAAGGAGCTACACGTAGATGGGCGAAAAAAGGATAATAAATGAAGGAAGATGGGTAGTGAAGGAACAACGTACAGAATGAAAGTGGTAAGAAAGAGAAGGCTAGAAAAAGAGAGGAAAAATAAGAAAAGACGAGAAAGAGTTATGATTGTGGCCGAGTTTCCGTACTCGGAAAGCCCTGGAAGACTTTTGATGACACGCGACAGTTCATACTTGACGGAAACTGCATAGAGAAAGGAGGATGATCACAGCATCAATCAAATTCTTCTTTACAGTAAGTTCAGTTACCTGCAAAATCATGTTACGTTCTTTATTGAGATGCTTGTTCTTTATAAGGATTATTTTTTATAGAGATGTTTATTTTTCTATATTGATTGAAGGTAGTTATATATAGAAAAACTAGCGAAGAAAACAATCGAAATGTAAACAGTAACATGTCGGTGACTAACCTAATACAAGAATAAAACTTTCTTATTTTTCACTTTTCTTTTATGAAACTTTCACTAACATATTTGTGACGTTTTTCTGATTAAAACACGGGCAAACACGTAATTCGAAATATATTTTATTTCAATATAAGTTTTATTGCAGTAAGACGTGGTAAAGTCACGGGTGACACGTCGGGTAACTTCGTTACTCTTCGACGTTATTCGGATCACGTGGTACGTTGACAGTCGAAATTGTAGAATTCTACAGCTGAAATGTTTAAGTAAGTTATTACAAGCAAATATGTACCGAATGATGTCGTGTTTGGTCTCGTTTTAATCAGGAAAATGGAAGAAATATATTACTGTAATAACGTAAACATTTTAATAACATAAAAGTAAAAGGTAAACAAGTTCTATATTTTCATTGATTAATTGCGAAATTTCTCCTCAGTTGTAGTAGTAATTTTTTCGTTTATGTCGTGTTATTTCCGCCTATAACATTACTGTGGAGTCATAACATGATTTTTAATTTCCATGAAGTAATCGATAAAATCGTTTCAGTGTGTTATATAGACCTGTCAAAATTTGTAAAACATCAGCTGCGGAGGTACAAGGCGAATAGATTATTTGAAGGTAGGTGGTGTTTTAAAATCCAATTGAAAAACTGGTTTGTGTTCACGTCCATCAAATCTCTCAGCGAGCTGACTCAACTGAAATGAACAAATCCTCGTTCGACAACCTATATATTTTCCAGTGACAAAATAATACATCTAGGGAAAAAGACTGATTTATTAAATTTCAGCTTACGCATACGATAAATAAAGCTGCTATTCCGTATCGAATAATTAAAATAACGCTTCGTATTCGTGTAATAGGTTGTTGCATATCAAAGGGCGGATTTCCAAGCGAAAATATTCTGCTATAACATGAAAGTACTGCTAAAGAATATTTATGTAATACTGACGTGTGAAATGGTGACGTGGAAATTTTTAATTTGTAAATTTGAGAACTTGGAAATTCTGGATTTAGAAATTTTTTAAATTTAGATTTTCAGAAATTGGACAATTCAACATTTAGATATTTGCACATTTTGTTACACCGAATTGATAATTTAAATATTATTAAAACTTATTATTAATAAAGCGATATTTCTACCAAATTTTAATCTTTTCTTTGATAAATACAATTACAATAAAACTGCTAACATTTATTTTCTACACTTCACGTTGTAAATACAATTGCACTAAAACTACGGGGGATGAAGATCGTTAAACCTTTAAAAGCTAATAGAAGGACAAGTAATTGATAAACAAATCCAATCGGAAGGAGGGCAAATAAAAATCTTTCGATATTCCCTTGGCTCGTTTATTCCAATATTATTCTGCAATGATTAAACCGTCGGTAAACACACAGTGACCATCCTTTGTGATTTCACCTCCATTTTCCTGTCACGTTTTTCAAACCAATGCCCAAAGCTTTTCTTTCTTTCGACGTTTCCCGTCAATCTCTTTCGTATACTGTTCGCTTCCCGTAGGAATCGGAAGTACACAACGCAACGAAATCGTTTAATGGAAATCGGATTACTTGAATTAAGGCAAAAGCAACTCTTTGTATTCTCTTCTGAGAGCAATTTGAGCGGAATAATATGTTTTCTTGAATTATCAACTGAACGTTATTAACAAAAATTTTTCGCTTTTTGGATTTCTTTATATTCTAAGTGTTTTTAACACTAAATTCGGTAGATATTAAGTAAAAGGGACCCAATGACCTTGATTTTCATATGTATTATTAAGGACATGTTCGTAACAAACTTTTCCCTGTAACTTAATTGCTTACTGTTTACTAAATTTTTTTAGTTATTCAATTGTTTAATTATTGAATTGTTGAATTATTGAATTATTGAATCACTGAATCATTGAATCATTGAATCGTTGAATCGTTAAATCGTTGAATAATTGAATAATCGAATAATCGAATAATCGAATTATTGAATTATTGTATTGCTGAAATATTGAATTACTGAATTAGTGAATTACTGAATTAGTGAATTACTGAATTACTGAATTACTGAATCACTGAATTACTGAATTACTGAATTACTGAATTACTGAATTACTGAATTACTGAATTATTGAATTACTGAATTATTGAATTATTGAATTATTGAATTATTGAATCACTGAATAAGTGAATTACTGAATTATTGAATTACTGAATTACTGAATTATTGAATTATTGAATTAGTGAATTATTGAATTATTGAATTATTGAATTATTGAATTATTGAATTATTGAATTATTGAATTATTGAATTATTGAATTATTGAATTATTGAATTATTGAATTATTGAATTATTGAATTATTGAATTATTGAATTATTGAATTATAATTAGTGAACTACTGAATTACTGAATTACTGAATTACTGAATTACTGAATTATTGAATTACTGAATTATTGAATTATTGAATTATTGAATTATTGAATTATTGAATTATTGAATTATTGAATTATTGAATTACTGAATTACTGAATCATTGAATTACTCAAACATGCAATTATTCAATCACTCAACCATTCAATTAAATTGTGTGGAAAAGTTACTTAGGACCTCGACAACACATATCAAGGCTAAGGTCGTTGTCGTCTCCTTTTTTCAATGTTTACCCTGAAATGTAGTACTTTGAACATTATAACTATCATGGTGGTCGGAATAACTTACTTTCGGCTTGAAATTTAAAATGGCAGAATTTAAGTAACATTTAAGCAAATATATGTATATTTAAAATACGTATATGTATACATATAATACTTTAATATTATATATATTTCGTAATGTATGAATAAACTTGCTATATGATATAGTTTAATAGCAAATATCCTTATTTTTACAATATTTACGATTTATTTTTAGTATTGTATTTTATTCAAAAATATCTCTATTTTACTTTATTCACAAATATATTCAGTTTATTAACAAGTATATTTTATTCCTCCCGAAACACTTTGTATAAGCGTTTAATTAACATTTTCGATAAATAATAAATTAACTTACAGTTTAATAATATCCATTTGCAAATATTTAATTTGCAGTCGCCTGCTATAGTGTTCTACAGTAAACTCTTTATAGAATATAGTATATCAGATTAAAAAGACCATTATCATTTTCGGATACAGGAGGCTGACAATAAATTGAATATTCACTAATGGATAAAATTAACAATAAGCTGTAAATTCATTAAGTCGTTGTTCGTTCCAATAATGAAGCCATTTTATGTTACGAATATTGACGAAACGTTTATGAAATCATTTTCATTAGATAATAAGCTTCACATTGATATGCCATAATTGCTATTTTGCATGTACTTTAATGTTATTAAACTGTGAAGAGCTTCTCGTGTGCCAAAAATTGACTATTATTTGTTATAATTGGCAAATTGTAATTTCTTATATTGAAAATTATAATGACAGTTTTTTCAAATTGATATATATATAACATGATCTATTTTTAACATACCTTTATTTAATTTTGAGAAATTTTGTCAGATTTAAGGGGTAACGCCACTCTAGAAGTCAGAAAAAAATGGGATTTTCGGGAATTTTTAAAGTAATAACCGTACAAGTTATAAGGTCAGAATAAAAAAGGCTTTATTAGATGTGTTTTGAAGATGGTTGGTAAATTTTTATAAACAATTTGCACTAAAAATGGCGGCTGTAGGTGCTAGCAAGCAACAACACTATTTCTTTGAAAGGGCTTCATGGCCGGACTGTTTTTTCATTAACGCATGGTCCTAAGTCAAAAAATCAAAAAGTTTCTCATATTATATAGCAAAATCTATGGAACATCGTACGGAAATTAAAAAATATTAATAATTGTTAATTTAGTGTAGATATGAACAAAAAGTTTCGAAAAACGGCAGAAAATTCAGCATTAAATTGTTAATAAAAAGTTAAGTAGTTAATTAATCAAAAAATCCGTACGATGTTCACTGCGTTATATTATTTTGCACCTCTCTACGAAATTTCAAGTCGATTAGTTAAAAACTTTTCGAGTGATTTGTCTGGCCAGTTCAAATAAAGTGATTTCGAGAAAAACGCGTTTAAAGTTTTTATTGCTATTCAGCGTAAGAAATTTGTTATATAACTTTAATCAGCGATGCCTGCACCATACATTTGGCCTTCTATTTTAACATCCTCCACGTCCTTTTCCTTCTTATAGGATCTAAGATTCAATCTCGATATTTTTGAAGCTTCATTCAAAGATCGTTCTGAAAATTCTATGCATCGGGCGTCGACTTGTAGGCAAAAATTGTAACAATTTTCTCCGACAGACATATCCAAGGCTTTTATTAGTTTCATTACAGTGAATAATCCATCTTTGAATATGCAAACAGATATTTTTTCGACGGATTCATAGTGTCAACGGTGTTGACAAAACCATAATAAATACTCAACTCATCAATGAGTTTTCTTGACAAATTTCACTTTCCTTCAAGAACTTTGTCTATTTTTTCAAATTGGGGGTCATTGTTTATTAACCTAGCTGAATCAGGCCTTTTGCCTTTACCCAGGTACCGTTCTCTACGCTGATTATTGTGCGCGTATCCGCAAATTACGCTGCGCCAACCAAAGAGTGGTTGCTTTCCACCTAAAAAAATTCATATTTCCGACCTGCCCCCCACTTAAAACTTTTTTCTCATATTCTATACATAATAAAGCATCATTTAAGCAAAAAAAAAAAATCGATTTTTTCAAAATTCTAGAGTGGCGTTACCCCTTAAAATCGTTTATATTTTTGTGATTTTTGTTTTTATTGCCAGATTAATCATTACAAGTCATTAATTATTTTTGATAATTAAA